CTGACGCCGTGCTAGACGCCTCCACATCGCCTTGGTCCAAGACGCCAAAGCCTTTGTCAAGCTTGCTGTCCTGGCGACCCTGACGGCTGCCGTCGAGATGACCGTTGTCTGGAACCGCATACCGGACGTGAACGACGTGGCCGATGCTGCGCAGATGATCCCGTTGGTCGTGGTCGTCGGGATCATGGTCAGGGCGATTTTCCTGCATTTCGCCAGGGCCGAGACCGCATCGGAGACGTCGTCGGGTTCGAGAAGCAGGGGCCAGTTGTCGAGGCGAAGCAGCGCGGCCGAGTCGCGGCGGTCTTCGGAGTCGCGGCATTCGGGGTCGGAGGGGCCGGATACCACGAGACGGCCGCCACCTGTGCATGTTCATTAAGGAGACTGAATCGTCGAGAGCGTGGTGTTCATCTCGAAGCATGTGACTTGGGGTTTGGGTTCTTTATCAGGTTGATAATTGTGGCGATAGAGATTCTCTTGACATGATGGAGGGGATCGATTTACAAGGCTCATCACGATGTGGATCCGAGTTGACATGATCAATGATGGAACACCGAAGGGATGCCGGTGCTGCTGTCAAGTGATGACAGCGTCCGGTTGCAGCCATGTCCTGGCGTGCTGTACTCTGCGCCCACGTGAAGTTGATTGGATCTGTGCAGATGTCGTCAACAGAGCATTACGCATATTCACAATGCACACATCACTGGATCATCACCCATCTGCCAAACAACCAAGGTAATGCAACGCATGCGTGTTCTGTCCAGTCTCCTGAGTGAAGTCTTGTTGATCTGTACATGTCCATCGTCAGACCTCCAGCAACAGCCGTCCTACCAGTCCTTTTGCAGCCTCGTGCGGCTCCCTCACTGGGGAAAGCCACAAGCCAATAGCAAAACGTCCGCGAAGCAGATGAAAATTCCATGTTGAAATCCAGTTTCTCCCTGTAACTCCGGTATCATTGAACCTTTCCGTTCGCAGCAAAAACCACAACCACCCGCCTCGCCATTCCAAACTCCCGTCCCCAAGGCGACGCACACACACACACACACACACACACACACAGCATCTTCTTCATCGTACATCCAAGCAACCCGCTCAAGCCGTGGCGGCGACAGCGTCAGCCAGGGGCGTCGTCTTGCCGGTGCCGGCGAGGTTGGTGGTCTTGGCCTTGGGGTTCTTGGTGTAGTAGTCGGCAATGGCGGCCTTGATGCCGTCCTCGGCGAGCATGCTGCAGTGCAGCTTGACGGGGGGCAGCTTGAGCTCCTGGGCGATCTGGGTGTTCTTGACGCGGCCGGCCTCCTCGAGGGTCATGCCCTTGACGAGCTCGGTCAGGTAGCTGCTCGAGGCAATGGCGCTGCCGCAGCCAAACGTCTTGAACTTGACGTCGGAGATGGTGTTGGTGTTGGGGTCGACGCGGATGTTGATCCTTGGGCACGGGTTAGCATGTGCGCGCGACGGCGACGGGACGTGCCGCGGGGTGCATTTTGTCGGCAACGGGAAAGCGGGAGCAGGAAACGTACTTCATGACATCGCCGCAGGCAGGGGCGCCGACGAGACCGGATCCGACATCGTCACCCTTCAGGGTGCCGACGTTGCGTGCTGCCCAACACCAAGTTAGCCACTGGTTGCCAAGTGTGATATCAGGGGTCGGGAAAGGTCATACGCCTTGAGTAGTGGTCGAGGACCTTTTCGTGGTAGGCTCTCGTCGCGTTGACGGAGACGGCAGGGGCGAGCTGGCGGGGGGCGATGGTGGTCGGCCGGATGGGCGTCGAGAGGACGGAGCGCGAGGCAGCGCGGAGAGTCCTGGAAAGCATTATGGAGTTGGGGTGTATGGTTTGCTGGTTTGCTGGTGTTTTTTTTTTTTTCGCCTTGATGATCAAAGGACTAGAGCGATGAAAATAGGTGTTCGGATGGATTGCGTCGTTGGAGAGTTTTCCGGCACGAGTCGTAGGATGTGGTGGTGTTGAGGGAATGATGAAATGGCAAAATCCTAGGTCAGCTAGAAGGAGGCGTCAGAGGGAGGAGGCGAGGATCAGAAATTATGGGCGTGCGGGACTTGCGTTGCAGTGACGGAGAAGCAGCGCGGCGATCTCGGTGGTGGACAGCTGCTGTGGCCAATCAGCAAACCCGATTATCGGTCATTAAGTCATTTATTTGCTCGGCCCTCGGGCGTCGACGATGGTCACGTGGTTCCAGGAGAGGATTCCCCGGATTTTATTCACTTCACTTGCTTGATAATCTGATAAGATAGCGTCTGCCGTGATAGGTTGTCTCTGTGCCCACTTGATGGCCGAGTTGAGGCTAGTGGCGAGGAGCCCTTTCATGCAGGGTCGAGCCGAGAGAAAGCTCAACTGGCCAAAGTCTGTGAATGGGAAGGCTTATCTTGCGCGTGCATCTCCGTCGACGCTCCGTGATGATTGATAATGCGACATCGGTCTTTGACCGGAGGATGGCCTTTGGTGGAGCGCGGATATCTCTGTCGCCGGCCTTTGCTATGGAGCGCGGGGTACCATTGCTATTGTTCTATATCGAAAGTCAGTAGATACTATCCTCGAGCATTACATGGGCCATAATACGTGTCGCTCGAATCAGGAGACTACCATATCCAAGGTAGGTACCTAGCAAGGTAGTACCTAAGGCTGGGAAGAAGAGGATCCTGGAGTGCCTCAAGAATAGCACACATCTTACGTCGACCTGCAAGAAACCCTGATATCAAATTGAGCACTGAGTATCCCCCATCTGACACAAAAGAAGTGAAGCTGGTCATGGGAAAACCGAGACTCTGAGGTTGAAACCAAGTGGCAGCTAGTGCACACCCAGACACCCAGGCACCCAGACACCCAGACACCCAAGACACCTCGACGCAGGCGACAGCTCTGGCGGCTGGCGGGGTCTCGAGCTGCCCAAGCTGCAGCCCTGGCATTACGTACATGCGGGGCACTGGCATCCACCAAGCAGACAGGCAACCACCACCACCACCACCGACACCGACAAGTCGTGCAGCAACACCAGGCTGACAAGGCAACGTTCGAATCTGCTAGATCTCTTGGCTGCCTTGGAGCTTGCCTACCATTTTTACTCTATCCGAATTCCTCCTCTGGCCTGCATCTTCCCCACGACTTCTCCTTGCCGACTCTCACCACGCAAGACAACCCCCACTACCTGGCACACACCAGGCACAAACCATCGCCACAGCTGGCAGTGCCTTCAACACGGAGAGCTGCAACACAGAGAGCTCACAGAGAGCTCACAGAGAGCTGCACAAACATGGCGTGTCCTCACCTTGACTCCCTGAGTACGTCAGCCACGTTGCAACAACCGCCTGTCATCATCTACGTCGATCGTCACTGACATTGTGCCCCTTGCAGCTCTCAGGCCCCCCACCGCCGCCCAGTCCGTCTACCGAGAGGACTGCACGCAATGTTTCGACTCGATCGATGACCCCGCCGGCCTCGACGTCTGCCTGCAGTGCTTCAACGGCGGCTGTGCCGGCGAACGCAACCACGCCTCGCTGCACCGTGCCTTGTGGAGCCACCCGCTCGTGCTCAACATCCGTCGATCGCGCAAGGTCGTCGTGCGCGACGAGCCTCCCTTCAAAATGTCCAAGCTCGCCATCGCCGCCGAGACGGACGAGGACAGGTACGACACCAAGACGACCGTCAGGTGCCTCGAATGCAGCACCGAGCTGGACCAGACGAGCGAAAAGCTGGCGCCCCTTGTCGAGGGCATCCTCAAGGCGAACACCTTTTCGCGGAAGGAGGAGGTCAAGGCCTGGGAGCAGGAGCTCACGAGCTGTGAACACATCCTCCTGCTCCAGCAGTCTGAGGGCCGGACCATCGAGCCCGCGGGCCTCGGCCACTGCTCGAGTTGCGATCTGAAGGAGAACCTCTGGCTCTGCCTCGAGTGCGGCGCGCTCGGCTGCGGCAGAAAGCAGATGGGCGGCGTGGACGGCAACTCACACGCCCTGGCGCACGCCACTGCATCTGGTCACGGCGTTGCGGTGAAGCTGGGCTCCATCACGCCCGAGGGAACCGCTGATGTCTACTGCTACAAGTGCGACGACGAGAGGATCGACAGCGATCTCAACCAGCACCTGGCGCACTGGGGCATCATCCTGGCCGAGCAGCAAAAGACGGAGAAGAGCTTGACGGAAATGCAGATTGAGCAGAACCTCAAGTGGGATTTCAGCATGACCAACGAGGACGGCCAGGAGCTGAAGCCTTTGACCGGTCCCAGCCTTACGGGTCTGAAGAACCTGGGAAACAGCTGCTACCTGGCGAGCATCATCCAGTGCCTCTTTGATATGCCGTCGTTCAAGACGCGCTACTTCCAACCCAACCTCGACCTGCCTGTCGTCGAAGACCCCGCAGCCGACCTCGAGACGCAGCTGCGCAAGATGGCCGACGGCCTGCACTCTGGCCGCTACTCCAAGCCCGACCCCGAAGCTCCCGTGTCGGACGAGACGCCCCATCTCACATATCAAAAGGGCCTGGCCCCCGCCATGCTCAAGCACCTCATCGGCCGCGGCCACGCCGAGTTCTCGACGATGCGCCAGCAGGACGCATTCGAGCTTCTGCAGCACCTCTTCAAGCTCATCACGCGGACGAACCACCCCGCCGGCCTCCAGGACCCGACCCAGCAGTTCCGCTTCGTTCTGGAGCAGCGCCTTCAGTGCACGGGATGCAAGAAGGTGAGGTACACGACCAACGAGCAGGACAACATCTTCATCAACGTCCCCCTCGAGAAGCTCCCCGCGACAGAGGACGGCGAGGCCAAGGCAGACCAGTACGCGCCCGTCACGCTCAAGGAGTGCCTCGATAACTTCACCGCCGAGGAGGCGGTCGAGCTGACCTGCTCCTCCTGCGGCAGCAAGGACGGCTACACCAAGAGGTCCCTCTTCAAGACGCTGCCCGATGTGCTCGTCGTCAACGCCAAGAAGATGGCCATCATCAACTGGGTGCCCGTCAAGATTGACGTCCCCGTCATCGTGCCCGACGAAGCCTTCCCCCTGGACGCCTACCTCTCGCCAGGTGTCCAGCCCGGCGAGGAGCAGCTGCCCGAGGACGCCGAGAGCAGAGCACCGTCCTTTGAGCCCAACGCCGAGGCAGTCGTCCAGCTCGAGGCCATGGGCTTCCCGCGCAACCGCTGCGAAAAGGCCCTCCACGCCACGGGCAACGCGAGCGCCGACTCGGCCATGGAGTGGCTCTTCGCCCACATGGAGGACCCCGACATTGACGCGCCCCTCGACCTCGGAGGCGCCGCGGCCGGCGGCGACACGGCGGATCCCGAGAAGATCGACATGCTCGGAGCCATGGGCTTCGGCGCGCCCCAGGCCAAGAAGGCGCTGCGCGAGACGGCCGGAGACGTCGAGAGGGCCGTCGAGTGGCTGTTCAGCCACCCCGACGACCAGGGCGCCTTTGACGACGAGGCTGCCGCGCCTGCGGCGGAGAGCGCCGGGCCGGCCGAGCCGGCGGGCAGCGCGGCCGTGCCGGCGAATTTCCAGCTGCAGTCGATTGTGTGCCACAAGGGCACGAGCATCCACGCTGGGTGAGTTGGATTGCTGGCTTTCTTTCTACACCGTGCAGGAGGCTAACTCGTTGTAGGCATTACGTCGCCTTTATCCGGCAGGCGGGCGATCACCCGTCGTGGGTGCTCTTCAACGACGAAAAGGTGGTCGAGGCAGGCGAGGTCGAGGAGATGCGCAAGTTTGCGTACGTCTACTTCTTCAAGAGGGTGTAGGGCGTGGGGGGCATGTGTGTGTGTGGATGGTTGACATGGCGTTGAGGTTGCATCTGCATGAAAGCAGGGGGGACAGGAGGTTGGGGACAGCATGAGTAGCGTGCAGGGGTTTAAAAGCAACAAGCATGAATGATGAAGTCGGATGGCAAACACTTAAGCAGAGGGAGACGGTGGCAGGGGGGCATGTTTTCTTTGCGCAAAGGCTCGATCCATTTCGTGGCGAGCTGCGCCGTCGGTAGCTTTGGTAGACATATGGTACCTCGTCGCCGAGATGATGGCCTGTCCTCGCATGCCAGTTTGTGGAGAGGAATATCTCAAACCAAAATGGTGTCAACGCCGTACGCCTGCCTGCCTGCTTCCTCTAACCAAGCAACCTTCAACCTATATCCCTTATTCCTCGTCACTTGGCAGTCCCATACCGTTGCGACTGCCGAGAATTAAAAAAAAAAAAAAAAACAGCTCGTGACCACTCCCCATCTACTCGGCCAGGCGGTAGCTCACGAGCGTGTCGACGCGGTGGTTGCTCGTGCTGAAGCCGCGCAGCTGGACGCGCTCGGCGTTCTCAATCTCCTTGGCGTCGCTGTCGCCCCACTCGACGGGCACCTCGCTGTCGGCGTCGGCGTAGACGAGCACGTTGAAGGTGCAGTCGCCGTCGAGCTGGGGCAGGAAGGTGACGGAGGCGGTGATCTGGCGGAAGATGGCGGCGATCTCGTCCTGGATCTCCTTTTCCGTCTTGTCGGGCGCGTCTTCGGTGCTGGCAGGGACGTCAGCTGGCTACAGATGTGGAGCTCGGGAAGGGAAGAGACAAGGGAAAAAAAGGAAAGGAGAGGAAAAGAAGAGAAAAGACTGGACAGGCGTCACTCACACGGGCGCGGCGTTCTCCTGGTCGGCCTTGGCGGCCTTGGACTTGGCCGACTTGTGCTGGTTGAAGATTTGGACGTCAAACTGCCAGCGCTCGACGTGCTCGCCCGTGTCCTTGCTCGTGATGACGATGACGAGCTTGGAGATCTTGCCGTACTTCATCCAGCGGTCGAGCTGGCCCATGATCTTCTTGATGTAGGCGCGGACCTGGTCGTCGGAGGAGACTGCTGCGGCTTAGCAAAGGAAAACCTTCGGGTCATTGGACATGTTTCTGCAGACGGACCGAGCATGTTGAGGCCATATTTCTTGACGCTGGAGCAGTGAGGGTCAGCAGGTTGTCGGCGAGGTCGGGACGGAGGCGCCGACGTACACGGAGAAGTCTTCGGCGGGGTAGACACCTCGTTGGAACCTGGGGTTGGTCAGCGGTTGCTCGCGGCGAGAGACTGGACAGTGGCATCGGACAGAATGGTGTGGATCGAGTATTGGAACTGCAGGTGAGGAACCGTCAGCGTTTCTGCATTGCATTGCAAGTCGAGCGGGAGCTTCGAGCTTCGGGCTTCGAGCTTCGAGCTTCGAGTGTGCGACGACATACGAATTCGGCAACAAGCTTGGCGCTGCCCCTCAGGGCGAGCTTGTGCACCTTGGAGGCATCCTTGTCCTTGTCTTCCTTGGGTGCCATGGTGTCTTTTTTTCGCGCGGCTGTCGCTGTCGTATGAGGGCTGCTCGGGGCGGTGAGTCGCGGGAGCTGTCAATGGACAGGCAGGTTGAGGTTTGGTCTGGCTCAGTTTATTGACTTTGGGTGGATTCTCGGAGGCCAGCAACGACAGCCAGCGGGCAGCGGGCAGCGGGCAGCGGTCAGCGGGGTTGGCCGCATGGGCCAGGCTTGCCAGGCCTGCCAGGGCCTCCCGCTGTGGGGCGACCCCTGGTGCGATCGACCCTAACCCGGGCAGAGCTCTGGACCTCGACGACATGTTGCCATTTGCATCTACTCGACTGTTGAGCCATGGGTTGGATGGAACACAACCACATGCATATTTCTATCAATTCTTCCCGTCCATCATCACGGCAGACTACTCTGGAACTCAGCCAACATTCCCGCATGCTCATTTTCACCGCCAATGTAGTCCACAATCGGCAAACCACGCTCTCCAATCCCACCACCATTCTCGCAATGGCCGCCCTTTCATCCCAGATCAAGGACTACAGCATCCTCCCAAGCCTCTCACTGGCAAAGCAAACTCGAGAGTCTTTGTATTGAGAACAGCCTGCTCCCGACGTTACCTTTTCCGGATGCCCCAAATGATCGAAGCCAGCCGGCCCTTGTTGTCTGGGTTCTCGACGAACAAAGGATAGCACATCCCCTATTGTCACGCCTTCCTCAGAAACCATCCTTTGCCAGGTGTAGCCTACCCGAGATCTCGCTGGAATGCAGGACAAGAAGCCATGTGCTTTCCAAGTTCAGGCGATGCAACAAAGGTTCTTCTAGCATTTCATGTGCTCTCCGAGCCCAACAGCGGCTCGCCATGACGGCGTCCAGATGATCCTCATAAAACCATGGTCCTGCCATTGGCATTTTAACCCAACAATTTTCTCTTGTTCCTCACAGTCCCTCACGAATTGAGTCAGTTTTCTACGGAACGGCAAGCTACCACGCCTAACCAATGCGGCCATGTGCATCCGAGACGTACGCATCTACACATGCCTCGGCCAGGAGGAGCGCGACGTCAAGACGCACATCGAGAAGGTCAATATTCTCTGCGCCGCCCTCGAACCCTGTCCCGCCGACCTCTGGGACCGCCGCGAAACCCGTCATCCCTACGGCTGCCCCTCATGCACCGGCCGGTCGTCTCTCGTCACGCCCGCTGGCCTTCCCGACGTTGTCGTAACCTGGACAACCCCTCGCCATGACGACGTTGATGCCCAGTTTGCCGACCGCTACGTCAGTGACTGGGCCTCGTACATGCGACCCCTCATCGGCTGTCTCCTCACCCACACCTGGGGACCCCGCGGCGCTCTCTCCTGGGACGACATGTACGCCGCCTACGCCTGGCTCACCCGCGAGACGGCCTGCAAGGAGCACAGCCACTGGCTCAACCGCTGCCGCTGCGACGCCAACGCTTCGGACGTCAGGCGGTTTCTCTACAACCCCGCCACCGCCTTGCGCACCATGGCCGCCACGCGCGCAGGCCAGCCGATCCGCGACCTCGTCTACCGGCGCGACGCCGTGCACCCAAGCCGTCATTCAGAAGTCATCGAACGGGCGACCGCCGAGGCGGCGAGCGAGACGCGGCTGCGCAGGGAGCATGCCGAGCGCAAAGAGGCGTTTCCGTTCTTCCGCGACGGCCGGGCCCGGTGCCAGCCGTACTGGGAGGCGCAGTTCAAGTTCCGCACGACGCTGCTCGAGCACCAGGCGCGCACGACGCTCCTGCTCGAGGACAGAGCGTCGCGGCCGTGGCACAGGATGTGGGGCGACGAGCCGGAGATGCTCGACATGGAGGCGCACGACAACGGGGTGAGGACGGCCGTGCTGCGGTGCATGGGCCACATGATGGTCGAGGACATTGGGCTGTCGGACGCGCGGCTGCAGCTCGTGCTCGAGCGGCTCTTCGAGATCGTGCCGGCGCCGTGGCGGCGACGGCCGAGCCTGCCGGCCCTCGAGCAGCTCGCGAGCACAATCACAACGCACATGACGACGACGCGTGCAGGACGTGGCTCGTGCAGCAGAAGAGCGACTGGTTCGCCAAGGAGACGGTCTACCAGCAGAGCCAGCTTCTCTTCTGGTTCCTGACGCGCGAGGTCACGGGCGCGCAGCTCCGCGCGGGGACGCAGCTCCAGACGCAGGGCGGCGACGGCGACGTGCCAGAGGGTCGCGACGTGCCAGAGGGCGGCGACGTGCCACAGGGCGCGCAGGACGTCTTCTGCTGCCCGCTCTGCACGAACGCGTACTTTGACGCGGCGGACGGCGCCGAGCTCCTCGCGGCCAGCCCGGCGGGTCACGGTCCGGGCGAGAGTCACGGCACGTCGGTGCACTCGCGCACGTCGGCGGACGAGAGGTCGCGCGACAGGGAGGACTGGGCGTTCTACTACGAGCGCGACAGGTACTGCGAGGGCGAGGTGCCGGTGGAGATTGTGCAGTGCGGGCACGTGTTTGGGGCGCGGTGCCTCTTCCAGCTGCTCGTCCGGCAGGGGCCCGAGACGGACTGGTCGTGCCCGGACTGCCGTCGGTGCTTCCAGTCGTGGGGCCGCCAGCCGCGCATGGCGCAGCGGTTGCTGGCGGCTGTCAGGGAGGAGCAGCCAGTGGACGACGGCACGGTTGGGTAGTTGGCAGAGACGATATGCGCAGGCCGGACGGAGCAAGACGGCACGGGACAGGGTGGACAGAGCAAGAGATGTAGCAGCGGCTGCGGCGGCGGCAGCGAGACCAGAGTCGGTAGGCGGAGCAGATTGTCGGTCAGTGTTGGATCAGTTGGTCAGGTAGTGCAGCATCAGGCAATAAGAAAACGCATGTTCCAGATGATCCGGTCTGCATGAAGACAGCAAGTTCGCGAGGACAGCACTGGCGTTGCATGGCCCTTTGGCCTCTGCGGAACGAGGCCGCCCTGGCTGCCGCGGGATGCAGTCCTGTCTGCGGCGAGATGCAGTCGCCTCATCTCACGCCATGTCGGGACCCGGGTCGCTGGGATGGGCATTCGAGACAACAGGACAGGGCGGGCATCGAGATTGGGGGCGCGCAGGGATCGACCATGTTCTGTATCTACGTCGTAAGCGAGACGCTCGTCAAAGGGTGCCGTTGCGAGGACGCATGTGGCTTGCAGCGGGTGGGCGGTGACACGTTGGCGGCGTTGGGAGGATGATGGCTTCGTGGAGGACTCTAGCGAGCAGGAGTCTTGCGAGCAGGAGTCTTGCGAGCAGGACTCTACCGAGCAAGGGATGAGGGAGAGGCGGTCAATCGGAGGGGGCGCATAATGTGGCTAATAAACATGGCTAATAAACACGTGCCATGCCAGGACCTTCACCGTACCTTACCTGGCAGCAAGCACTCGGACACATGGCCCGCCAAAAGGCTCTACAAGCCAACAATCACGGGCACGGCACCTAGCACCGATGCACTCGCTACGTAGAGCCGCTGATTGGCCCCTCGACGCAGCGTCGGGACGCTGGAGCCCGGCTGCCGGCACGCCGTTCGCCCATTCGCCCATTCGCCAGGGCGGTGATCAGCTAATCTGCCCGTGCTTCAGTGGCTTCCCCGGTGGCTGCCATGCGCTGGAGCGGTCCGGCACTGCTGTCCCACGCCCCGCTGCCATTACCTGGGGGCGCTCCCTCAGTCGCTCGCCAGACCACGACGGCGATCTAACCGTGATGAGGCTCGCCCGTTGCTAGGTCAAGCGAGAAGACGGAATTGCCTCCATGCTTGGGGGTCTTTCTGTTGTGTCGTGCATCTTACTCGCTTGCCCTCTCTCTCGTCGCCAGCCAGCCAGTTGACATGTCCCACCTCATCACCTCATCCAGAGATCGATGACGATGCCATGAACGGATGCACCGGAGGGCAAGGGAACGGTGGACCTCCCAGCATCAAACCGCCCTGCACCTACGAGCCACTGTCTTGATTCCCCAAAGTCCGAACCTCCATCGGCGGGGCCCTCCTCTCTCGGCCAGCGACCCGCCCCGGCCTCAATTCCGCCATGCCCAAGCAAAGACGCAAGACAGCCCACTCTGCCCGACCGCCTGGTTCGGCCTGTGACCATTGCCCGTCGTCCTGATCTGGCCCGGTTAGCTCTCCTCAGTACCTTAAGCGAGAGACGTGGGCCCCCCCCTCTTCGAGAAGGAATCCTGCCTGCAAGGCGAGAAGGAGAGAAGAGCCGGGGGGATGCAGGTCCGTATGTTCTCGTGCATGCAGCATGTGCGAGTGCGAGCAACCATGTCCGTGTCTTGTCGGGTCAGGGCATCATCACTACTATGCATCATCAGTGCCATCGTCGAGTCCACGGGTCCGCCCCTATGAGCTCAGCCATGTCCCCCTTTACCCCCGCTCCCTCTTCATCTTCTTTTTCTGCTTCTTTTTCTGCTTCTGTTTTGCCATGAATTCTTCGTCTTCTACCGAGAGTGCATCGTGAGGTGAGGAAAGCAAAGACCAGGACACGGCAAGCGCGATCCAGTACAAGACACTCGTGCGACTCCCCTCTTTCCACATGTGCCTTATATCGAGGGGTTGACTTCTTTCCTTCTGCACACCGTAAGGCAAGTACCCATCTTGGCCGAAGAAGGTGCCATAGCTCGACTGCCTCTTTCCCAAGACGCACTCATGTCGACTTCATAACCTGCCACCTTCATCCAAAAGAGACCACGCCAGCCGCATCACGCCTTGCCCAAGACCACAGCCAAGACCACGCTACGCCCTGAGACACCTAACCGCCTTGAGACCTGCCAGCCGGACCCTATCTAAGGACCGCAGCCGCTCTCCCAGCTCGCCAATCTGAACCCTCGACCCGTCACCCGCCAGCTCTGCCAGCTTCGACGGCTCACCCATCGTCGTCTCATGGGCCCTGCCGCGATGCTCGCAGAGGCCGCCGCGCTGCCGGGCACGACACCCGTCCTGCGCACCCCGCACGATGCCGACGCCGACCGGAAAGAGTTTGCCCAGAACATCTTCAACCAGACCTACAAGGAATGGCCCAACGAGGCCGGCGTACGTTGGATCCCCCCTCTTGTCCCTCCCGACGCCCCGCCCCATTATGCCCCCGTTCTGACAGCCCCAGTTTGACGGCCTCACCGAGGAACGCGGCCCCCTCGAACTGACCGTCCGTGGCCACATCCCCGACTGGGCGGCCGGCTCGCTGTACCGGACCGGCCCCGGCGCCTGCAAGGTCGAGAACAGCCCCAAAGGCACCCACTACGTCACGCACTGGTTCGACGGCTTCGCGCACACGCACCTCTTCCGCATCGTCCCCGCGGACGAGGCCGCCGGCACGCCCCTGCGCGTCGTCTACTCGTCGCGCCGCCAGGCCGAGACGCTCGTCAGCGAGATCAGGACCCAGGGCATGCGCAACGCCTACTCGTTCGGCCAGCGGCGGGACCCCTGCATTGGCCTGTTTGGCAAGGTCATGAGCATGTTCCAGAGGCAGCCGCAGGGCAGCAACGTGTCCGTCGCTGTCAACACGAACGTCCCCGGCCTGTCGCCGCCGAACGACCGCCTGTCGCCGCCAAATGGCCCTCCCAAGGGCGACGATACCCCGTCGGGCGGCCACCGCAACGGCGTCCGCAACGTGTGGATATCCACCGACGCCAGCATGCTCGTCGAGGCCGACCCCGACACCCTCGAGCCCGTCGGCGTCGCCCGGCAATCCAAGCTGCACCCGGACCTCAAGGGCCCCAGCTCATGCGCCCACGCGCAGAGGGACCCCGAGACGGGCGACCTCTTCAACTACAACCTCGACTTTGGCAGGACGGCCACGTATCGCGTGTTCCGTGTCAGCGCGGCCACGGGCAAGACGGACATACTGGCCACCATCAGCGACGCCGGCGCCAAGGCCGGCTACATGCACAGTTTCTTCCTGACGCCGAGCTACGTCGTCCTCTGCATCCCCGTCGCGCACTTTGGGCTGGCCGGGCTCAAGGTGCCGTGGAACCGGAACATTCTCGACTCGATCGAGGCGTTTGATGCGACGCAGCGGTGCAAGTGGCTCGTCGTCGACCGCCGGGGGAAAAAGGGGCTCGTCGCCAGCTTTGACACACCCGCCGCCTTCTTCTTCCACTCGGTCAATTCGTTTGAGGAGACGTCACCGGATGGTTCCGTCGTGGACCTCTTCTGCGACGTCATCGAGTACCCGAATCAAGACGTCATCCGAAGCTTCTCCTACGACGTGCTGCTCGACAGGAATGACGCCGCAAAGAAGTTCTGGGGCGAAAAGAACAGGCTGCAGACACTCCACCCGCGGCTCGCCCGGTATCGCCTCGGCGTGTCGCTCACGTCGGGCAAGAAGCAGGGCCAGTGGGAGCTCGTGTCCTCGATTCCCGGACCGCACGCCGGCGAGCTGCCTGTCATTAACCCGGCATACCACACGAAACGACACCGCTACATGTACTCGCTGGCGAACCGGGGGCGAAGCACGCTGCTCGACACGGTGGTCAAGACGGACACGCAGACGAAGGGGGCGCTGCTCTGGGGGTGTCCGCGGGGGCACACACCAGGCGAGACCATCTTTGTGCCGCGGCCCGTGGCGGAGGGGGAGATGGCGGACGAGGACGACGGCGTGCTGTTGAGTGTTGTGCTCGATGGCAGCGCGCAGCGAAGCTACCTGCTGTGCCTCAACGCGAGGGACCTGACGGAACTGGGCAGGGCTGAATGTCCATTCTCCATCGGGCTTGGGTTCCACGGCGTGCATGCGCCGACGGGCTACCTGTGAGTTGGGCGTCGCGTCTGGCGGGCGAGCACGTGGGTTGCATCTTGAAGGCGTCAGCATTGCATGGGGCAAAGACGGCGTTGGGCGGGCTGGACTTGTGTGTATTTTTGTAAGGGCTTTCAAGCCAGCAGCAACAGCTGCGTCGTCATGATACCTTGTGTTTTTCCTTGCCTTTGCCTTCCTTTCGGCACACGCCCATGATGACAAGGCAAGTGAATGCCCCTGAGTTGGGTCGAGGCCATTGGCATCATGTTCATGAGTCGTAGAGATGCAATCAGACGGTCGGGTAACTAGATCCGAACCCACCAGCCGAGTCGTGAAGTGACCCCGCAGCGACCGGCCGGTCTTGCCAGTAACTGGTGATCGCAGTGGGGACGCGAAGGAGGGCAGGAAGTACCGAAGACAAGGCTCCACCCGACAGCTGCCTCCTCGACGAAACCCATCAGACTTGACTTGACGACAAGGACAGACAGCTTCATCTTTGAGTCATATGGATGAACAGCTGGATGGGGTTCTTTCGTCTTGCAGTCACCTGGTTTCGTGGAGTGCTGCAAAATCCCGGCCTCAAAAATCCCAGCATCAGAATCCCAGCATCAAAATCCCAGCATCAAAATCCCAGCATCAAAATCCCAGCCTCAAACGCTACGCTGGACCCCTCGATCAAACTCCATACACACCATCAAGCTTCAGCATCGCGAGCATTTGCATCACCCTGAGCCTGATGGCCACTCAAATGGCCTTTCCCTCCAATAGCTGTCTGCCTGTTGCCGTTCGGGAAGACCAGATCCCACCCTAGAGATCGTCCCAGCACAACATCAAACCCCTGACGCGGCCGCCCTGGCGCTGGGTAAACGTATCCCTAGCGCGAGACGTCACAGGGACTCCCCCAGAGTGGAGATGGCCTCACCAATGGCCGACGTCCTGATTCCTCTGACGGGCAGTATATGAGGTTCAGCCTTGCTGGCGTGGGAGGACATCTGAGCATCGACTGTACAGAGGCGACCACCACGGTTCGACCAACAACAAACATGGGGAAAATGGGTGCAGTTCAGCTTCTGTACGACTACTCCGGCCTGGCCGGCCTGGCCACTATCGCGTTTGTAAGTTCGCTGCTCCGAAGGCTCACGGCAAAAGCTGACGTCCCCGGAAAGCTCACCATCTACACCCTCTGGAGCTGCGTGTACAACTACTACTTCCACCCGCTGGCCAAGTACCCGGGCCCCTTCCTCGCCAAGATCTCCCCCGTCTACAGCATCTACGGCCTCTTCCGCGGCCGCTGGCCCTTTGACGTGCACCAGCTGCACCTCCGGTACGGCCCCGTTGTGCGCACCATGCCGTCAGAGCTCGCCTTTACGGACCCGGCGGCGTGGAAGGACATTTATGGCCACAGACAGGGCCATCCGCAGTTTCACAAGGACCGTACGTATCTGCCTGCCTGCCTGCCAGCCTGCCTGCCTGCCAGCCTGCCTGCCTGCCAGCCTGCCTGCCTGCCTGCCTCTCTTCTCGAGCTCGACAGGCTAAATCATCGCAGCCATCCACGTCGGCTCCGTCCAGGACCTCCCCGGCGCCACGACCCTGACCATGGCCGACGACGCCAACCACGCCCGCCAGCGCCGCACGCTGTCCCACGCCTTTAGCCAGAAGGCGCTGCTCGAGCAGGAGAGCATCATCCGCGGCTACGTCGACCTCTTTGTGCAGAAGCTGACGCCGCTGGCCCGGTCCGGCGCCGCCGTCAACATGTGCGACTGGTTTAGTACGTATTCCTGGCCGGCTCGGCATTTTGCCAGGCTTCCTAGTCAGGATTTTATCAGGATTCTGCCAGGATTTTGCCAGGCTTAGAGGCGGCCCCATAGTACCACCGACTCAACATGCACACAAAGCTGACCGGCGCAGACTTTACGACGTTTGACATCATCGGCGACATGGCCTTTGGCGAACCGTTCGGCTGCCTCAAGGACGGCGTGTTCCACTCCTGGGTCTCCCTCATCACCGACACGATCAAGGCGGGCGCCTACGAGCAGGCGACGCGGCGCATGTTCCGCACGGGCAGTTTCTGGCAGCGGACGCTCGTCAAGCTCATCCCGAGCGACCTGCGCGAGAAGCGCGTCAGGCACTTGCAGCTGAGCCAGGAAAAATGCCTCCAGTGAGTGCCCCTCTGCCAGTCGTCGTCGCATATTTCCCGTGGGAAATGAAGTAGGAAGAAAAGAACAGCCAGAAACTGACGACGTAGACGCATCGACGAGGGCCTCCGCCGCGAGCACCGCGACTTCCTCTACTACATCCTGCGACAGAACGAAAAGGGCACCGTCTCGCAGAACGAGATTATCCTCAACTCGGCCCTCTTCATCGTCGCCGGCTCCGAGACGACGGCGTCCCTCCTCTCGGGCCTGCTCATGCACCTGCTGCGCACCCCCGCCGCCCACGCCCGCCTGACGCGCGAGGTCCGCGACGCCTTCCCCGGCGCCGCCGGCGCCGCCGACATGCAGTTCCTCGCCCTCCAGGACCTGCCCTACATGAACGCCTGCATCGACGAGGCCCTGCGCATCTTCCCGCCCGTGCCCACGGGCCTGACGCGCACCGTGCCCCGCGGCGGCGACACGGTCGCCGGCGAGTTCCTGCCCGGCGGCACCACCGTCTCCGTCTACAGCTGGGCCGCCACCCACTCGCCCCGCAACTGGGCGCGGCCCGACGACTTTCTGCCGGAGCGGTGGCTCGACGGCGACGGCGACGGCGACGGGCCGTCGCCCTTTGCGCGCGACGCCCGCGACGCGAGCCAGGCCTTCTCGCTCGGCCCGCGCGGCTGCATCGGCAAGCACCTGAGCTACCTCGAGCTGCGCCTCATCCTGGCCAACCTGCTGTGGCATTTGACGTCGAAGCGCGTGCCGACGGCCCCCGGCGATAGTCGATCTCTGAGACGTCGGGGCGACTATGAGCCACGTCAAGGCGTTCAATACGTGGACTAGGCTGCCGCTCCG